AGGACCGGGCGGCCGGGTGAAGCGCACGGCGAGGAAAGGATAGCACCCTTTTTGTACACAAGACGACTGAGCGAGAGGTCTGATCAATCTAACAAGGCAGCTCGTATGTAACTGATGTATCCTGGAAGGCCGGGCATAGCGCTGGGCCCAGTTGTACAACAAAAGCACAACTATTTATGTACTGCGCACGGATTCGCTCGGCAACTTATTAGGCAGGAAAACCCCACTGGGAAACAGAGCCTAAGCGTGTACCCTGGCACGTTTACTTGCGAAGGGTCGCCCGAAAAAGTCTGTAGGGCAGCCCTCCCGGCTGGCCGGCTAATTATAGATTCGTAGTGAGCGGCGAGCCTCTGATACTGATGGCACTCTGGGTAGCATCAAGAGGATTCCCTACGATATAAGGATTTGTTTAATGTTCGCTCATTTCATCAGTACAGGGTAAAATGAAGATCCCGGTCGTTAGAACATGAATGAGTGCGTTTTCGAACCTGATTCTCCACCCATAGGGCACTTCTGGCTTTAGTCGGGCCTACCGACGGATTACAGGAGCCATGCGTTAGGCTAGTTAACATCGTGCGAAAGGATCATCACCAATTTCAAGGAGAGGTGATTACAGTATTTAGTGGCTCCTGCTGAGAGTGGGTTAATTCTCTGTGCTGGGAACTGGTGTAAAAAGTGTTATCCCAATCGGGCGAGGAGAAGATGTAAAGATTCATTCGTTCAACTGGAGAACAATCCTTAATATAAGACACTACTGCGATAGGCCGTAAGACAGGATCTTGCATTTAATATGCATGTGATTATGCCCCATCGGCATAGGGTGAGACCTGCGATAATGAAGGACCCTTGGATAACTAGACAGGTACGTACAGCAAACACACTTAGCACATGACTGCTAAGCGTTCGCGATTAAGTCAACATCGCTCGCGAGGTGGATCAGCACAACCCGGGGTTACTTCCCAATTGCGCACCTTCCAGGAACGACGTACGACGCGGTTACCTGCTCTCTACCCGAAAAAGAGAAAGATAAGTAGAGAGTGTTAAATGCGGACGAGAGTGCGTTAAACATGTATTTATTCCGTAGTGTATAATAGGGACGCTGGCCTCTCGTAAACATCCGACCCGTATGCGGTAACATAGCTCGTTTGAACATTGAACATAGTGTAACTGACGCAACGCAGGGCTCGGGAGATGACACACTTAACAATGCAGTGCATACGATAAATCTGGGAAGATGGGTCGATTACGATAGTCACAGTGTATCATCCTTCTTTTACCCGCTCAGCTTAATGACGGGAGACGATTCCCCTCAATTTATTTGTAAGGGGTCCTGTATGCCGCAGTTTATCTAGTACCCCTCCAAACGAGGTCCTTCAGCCAGGTAAAGCATCATTCAGCAGAGATGTAGGGGGGGGTCAGCAGGAGCTTGGAGAGTATATGTCTCAACATACGTTCCCGAGGGACTATTATCGTATGGAATCAGAGCGAGACATTAGAAAATAAGCCGTCCTAATGTCCGCTATGTTTTTTTACCTAGGTATGATCTACGTAGGTAGGGCACATCTTAAGAGGGAAGGCCTCTGCGACGGAAACCAAGGAGACGATATATCAATGGGGCCCCAGTAGTCCCGTGGGCGGTCGGGCTAGAACCATAGAGACCCAGTGCCCGTCATAGACATTCTCTCGTATTCGTACATGTTAAAGATACATCTTTTAGACTCTACCTTGCTTACCCAATCGGGTATTCCGGCTGCATATGCTTTGGAGTATGTCAGCACAGTGTCCATTTATTACCTCTACAAGCACACGGTCTTTCAAATGTGCTGCGTTACGGCTCTCGATTGCGCCTATAACACAATGGAAATAGGTCTATGTAAGGACAGATATTGGCCCTATACAGCAGGCCGAGGCTCCCCGCATTCCAAACATACACGAGACTACCTTGTACCGAAATGTATTTTTCGTGCTACTCCTTGCAGCTCAATGAAGCGAAAAACATCCTTTCCCCAGCGCGTTTCTCGTAACTGTCCGGTGGGGGGCGACAGATCCAGAGACATATGACTCTGATCATCCAAACTACACACTTATAGGAGGAAGATACGCAACTATCCGACTACGACGCGGTTAGAGCTATGAGATACTACAATTTGTCCTCTGACGCCGCGAGGCTATCGACATGTATGTTATAGTCAGCGTAAACGGGTGGCCCGGGCCTAGGCCTGCGAGCGCGTCCTTAGAGTAGTTTTCATGGGTGCTCGAAAGGATACTTCATATGCGTTTTGTTCCAGTGGATAAATTATGTTCCACGCGCAAATTGTTGGGGGTGGATGCTGACCCTGAGCTCTTGCTTAGCTCACGCCCCTCGATCCTGGGCCTATCACGCGAGGCGGGGGTTTACACAAGATTTGAAACTGGCCTTGGCTATTGCAATGATTTGTATCTTTCTGCAGTCATGGGTAAGTCTGTGGCAGACTAAATTTGGAAGTAAGTGGGGGGGCATTCCCAAATTTGCGTCTCGAGGACAAATTCTAACACAAGGCCTGGGAAGAGTGCGCCCCTTAGAGCGTCATATTGCACGGGCTAGTAAAATCCTGGGGTAATCAAAAACATAATTCACGGCCGAATATGCGCAAGTGTATCTTATAGTTTTTAACAATCTACGCTTTACGGGTTATCTTAGCTTGAAGTACATAATCACTAGAACGGACGGAAAAGCGAGACATCATCAACCGCGGCAGATTAGAGTGGTTGTTTTATTATCGATCCCAACGTCGGTCCTGTTTGCAGGATTGGAGTCCCTGTGGTTGGCGGAAACGATTCAGGCGATCTGGCGGCAGCTGTGGAGGGCGAGTTGATATAATATTATTCAGAATAACTCGCAGCCATGTTGCAACCGTTACACGCAGAAGAGCCTGGCGCTTGGATGGGAAATATACGGAGATTTCAAGTAGGTTCAGACCATTGAATTAACGCTCGATTCTGAAAGCAATCGGTCGTGGCGGAGACTAAGGCCATTATCGTATACGAAAAATGTTCTCTTGCGACCACCTGATATGAGCGGTAAAGAGCGACTCAAAATCGAAGCAGTAAGGAAGTGGGGACGAGTGTTATGATCGTTCTAACCAAACGTATGCGGGTAGTCTTAAATAGGGTACTAGTTAATTCACATTGAGCGCCGCCTCCTAGAAGACAAGACGGCTCCGCTGTATGTATGGGACTGATTCTGCACAAGATGACGACATTCTTGAGTAGTGAGAAAGCACTCCGACGAAGCCAAGAAACTAAGATAGCGCCAGTGCCGACATTGCAACTGACCCTTATGTTTTATATTCCTCCAAGTGAGTTAATCAACAGTATGACCTCGCAAAGTCTGCGATGGACCTTGGATCGCATAGCGTTTTCAGGGGGGCACGTCACAGGCTTCGTGCTCATGCGAAATATAGGTCAGCTCACCCATAGGGATTAACTTGACGTACTCTGTCGGCTATAGCAATAAGGGCGCGGTATCGCAATCTATCACAATCCTATGAAGGGGCCTGCCGCACACATGGTGCGGTATTGAGACGACAATATTGTTTTACTGGTCCTTCAACTAACTGAATGGTGATATGCAGGGACCTACGAAGGAAGGCTGGCCGTCACCTGCGGCTATAGACAACGCGCTTGTATAGGATGCCGCGACTCTAGCTGCGAATCAGTGGAGCACGAGAATTAGCCACCACTGCAAATTGGATTGCTTTTCTTTAGTTATGTCTGTGAAGATGAACTGCCTCTTCGGACCCGACGAGTTGTCCTCGAGGACGGAAATGGAGCGGAACCATATCCACGAGGGGACGGTTGTTGAGGTTCTCTGAGGATAACGCACCCAGTACATACGTTCTCATCCATAACGCTTTATGCAACAGCGCTCTACGAGGCCATGGCATTAGTATATGTTGCAAATGACAACGCCAAGGTGTAGACTGCTTAAGCTATAGAACCATACAGTGGGGGACAAAGTGGCTAGAGTATTGGCAGGGTTTTATATCTATTATACCAAAAGTCAAAGTGGGCTCAGGCTCTAGCTGGGTCCCGCCGTTTGAGACCGGAATATTGCTCAAGTTACGACCGCAGCATGAGGCTAGGGGTTAATGGATGGACTCAAACTAATCCTAACTGTTGAAGGGAACTTGGATAGGTTTTACGTGTGCGTTGCCGGTTAGGAGCGCGTCTACACGCTGATCAAGGCCTCAGGACACACAGATAGGTCGTTTGAGGACGACAGCGACTAGGCACTCGGGAGGGACTTCAGTTATGAACGTGGTTTCTACTGACCCGAGTGCAGCAAGCCCCTCTTACCGGCCGAACGCTTTAATAATTTCGGGGGGCTGAGAGCAGCATGGCATCATCCCTCCCTCACGTTCCGGGAGTAGCTATTGGCGATACAGCAGTCCCACATGTAAGTAGGTACCTGGAGGTCCTGAAAGCTTTGCCGTTAGAACGAACAAATGCGGCTAGGAATGAATTTCTGGTAAAGAACTAAGTATGATCAGGAAAGATCACTTCGG